CTCCTGACCTCATGATCCACTCACTTCGGCCTCCCAAAGTGCTGGGATTAGAGGCATGAGCCACCACACTCAGCCTAGGCAGATACTTAGGAAGAACAGGCATAGGCAAGTTTCCTGAGGAAGTTCTGATGTGTTGGAGGAAGTCAGGGATAGCAGCTTCATGGAGTGGGGCGGATACCTAGTAGGAGATGAAGCCAGCTGAAGCAGGATTCACACGCAGGCCTCGTAGATCCCAGCAAGGCGTTCAGCTTGCCCACGGAGTGCAGGAGGAGAGCTGCCAGACTACAAAGGAATACCTGCGAAGAGATTAGACCTTGGGGCAAGGTCAGAGGCAGAGAGGTTAGGGGAATGTTGCAGTAATCCACATAAGAAGTGACAGTCACCTGGACCAGGGTGGCAGCACTAGAGAAGGTAAGTAGTATACACCTTCCCTTTGAAGTCTCTCCAGTTTCCTACCACATTTCCCTCTCACAGCCCCGGTCCTCTCCTTGGCCTTCATCACCTTACCCCTGAATTGTTACACTAGCCCCCTCACTCCCTCGCTGGTGCTCACTGGACTTCCCACTGCCCCGGCTCTTCTCTCACCTTCCTCACATTACTCCCCTGCTCAGAAAATATGACTGTGTCCTGCCCGTCATCCAAGTCCAAATTCCTCTCCCTGGCTCTCAAAGCCTTCCACTGAGTTCTACACATTTCATGTTCTTCTGACCATAAACCAGTTCCTACCAGCACTCTGGCAGCAATTCAGACAGTAACCAGCTTACTTAATGACCAAGAGATCTGCTACTCTATACCCCATTCAAAATTAACCTGATAGTTCTTTTGATTGGGTCATAGCATCAGAGCTCCATTACAAAAACAAATAATAACAATTAACATTGATTAAATGCTTACTAAGTGCCAGACTCTAATCTAAGAGCTTTACAAACAGCGACCACTCCAATTGTACAACATCCCTATGAAGTGGGTACTAGTATTATCCCAAACTTTACAGATGAGGAAACTGAGGCACAGAAAGGTTAAGTAGATTGCCCAACATCACAAAGCCAGTGGGGAGAGGGGAGGAGCTGGGATTTGAATCTAGAAAGTCTCTACCTCCATAGTCAGCACTCTTTCTTAGCTGTGGTACTCCACTGCCTCCCATACTTGGACCCTGTTTCTCAGGTTTCTCCATGTGAATCATTAACTTGTGAGTTGTGTTTACAACAAAACTCTCATTACTGTCCCCCAAGCATTTTTTTTTTTTCAGATGGAGTTTTCCTCTTGTTGCCCAGGCTGGAGTGCAATGGCACGATCTTGGCACACCGCAACCTCTGCCTCCCCAATTCAAGTGATTCCCCTGCCTCAGCCTCCCTAGTAGCTAGGATCACAGGCATGGGCCACTGTGCCCGGCTAGTGTTTTGTATTTTTTAGCAGAGATGGAGTTTTTCCATGTTTGTCATGCTGGTCTCGAACTCCCAACCTCAGGTGATTCACCCATCTCGACCTCCCAAAGTGCTGGGATGATAGGTGTGAGCCACTGTGCCCAGCCTCCCCCAAGCTTTTGCTAAGCATTTTGTCTTCTTCCTATCTCTACCATGCCAAATCCCATCCAGCATTCAAGGTGTAACTCAACTTCTTCATTCTCCACAAAACTTCTCCAAATACACGAGACTTCACTGAATCTCCATTCTTCCAGCTATTTGAAATCCACTGCAAATCACTATGTTTGATTTTTTTTTCATGTAACTTCCCAACTATACTGGATGCTGCTTATGTGGAGCAACCATAAATTATGTTTCTTTTTATATCTCTACAATATGTAAAGCAATCCTGGGCCATTGCGTTCAACAGACATTTTAAAATAAAGACTACAGTGAGCTAGCTCCTGTGTGGGTTCCAAAACACAGTGAAGACAGTACTCAAAAATACCTGTGGGCTGGATGTGGTGGCTCACACCCATAAACCCAGCACTTTGGGAGGCTGAGGTGGGAGAATCCTTTGAGGCCAGGAGTTCAAGACCAGCCTGGGCAACATAGAGAGACCCCTATCTCTAAAAAAAAATTTTGAAAAATTAGCTGGGCATAGTGGCACATGCCTGCAGTTCCAGCTACTAGAGAGGCTGAAGTGGGAGGATCACTTGAGCCCAGAAGTTTGAGGCAGCAGTGAGCTATGATCACACCACTGCATTCCAGTCCATATGACAGAGCAACATCCTATCTCTAAAAAAAAAAAAGAAGAAAAGAAAATATATTTGTAGGCCAAATGAGAAGATCCAAGGAAATGCCTGTTGAAACATCATAATTATCTATTTTAATTAACCTTTTTCATATAAATGCTGTCAGTGACACTGCATACGCAAACATAAGATTTTCATATCATTTCAGTATAAATTCATTGAGCATCTACTTTGTGCTTGTTGCAAAAAGGAATGAGACAAAAGCCCTGCCATCAGAGAATCCTCAGTCTGTGTTACTATGTGTCTTAGGGCATGGTTGGAGATCAAGACTAGAAAATCCACTAAAATCTACTTAGGTGAAAGAGAACAGAAGGAAATGTCACAGAACTCACCTGTACAAAGAACAGTAGGCCTGTGGGTGATTGGAACAGAAAATGATCAAAGATGTTACCTTCTTCATTGCCACGTTACTCTTCCTCTGCTTCCCTCATTTTACATTTTTCTCTTTCCCCTACCTTTTCTCCCTCCCCATCCAACCCATTCGCAGATTGCCTTCCTTTGCTCTCCTATTACACCATCCATCATGGCTTACATTGGATGGTACTCTCAGCTTCCAACAAGTGCTGGTGACCATTCAGGTCCAGCATTACTGTCTGTTAACTTGACTCTCACCATTCTAATCCCGAGTGTCCAGCAGGAGACTCCAAGGGGACTACCATGGACAGGTTTCCAACCCTAGCCCAAACAGCTATGTTGGGGAGTAGCGAAAGAATGACCAAGGTCATGTTGAATGGTATGCAAGGGACTGTTCTTTCTGGGGCTGGACTCAAAGGTGTGGGATGTTGGCTTTCGTAAAACATAATGTGATAGGGCTGGTCGCAGTGACTGACGCCTGTAATCCTAGCACTTTGGGAGGCCGAGGTGGGTGGATTGCTTGAGGTCAGGAGTTCAAGACCAGCCTGACCAACATGGTGAAACACCGTCTCTACTAAAAATACAAAAATTAGCCAGGCGTCGAGGCATGTGCCTGTAATCCCAGCTACTTGGGAGGCTGAGGCAGGAGAATAGCTTGAAGCCAGGAGGCAGAGGTTGCAGTGAGCTGAGATCTCGCCACTGGACTCCAGCCTACGCAACAGAGCAAGACTCTATCTCAAAATATATATATATATATATAAAATGTAGTAAATGGTCCAATAGTTGCTCTACAGTACATACACCTCAGATTCACATTTTTCAGACTTCACAAAGTCATAGAGTTTTAGAAATGTAAGGAATTCCAGGAATCATTTGACATAATCCCCACACTTCAGCTCATTGTAAAGCAAAGCCTGAGAGCAGATAAGGGTGAATCCCATACTCTCTGACTCCTAGTTTACTCCAACATTTACCAAACCAGCAGCATTTTAAGACCACCTTTGACATGTAGGTGACTGAAGATAGTCCACACTGCATCGTAGCATGTGGATTTGTTTGTCTTTTTTAGTATAGTTTCTGTACCTACTAAGAACTTTCACATATATCATCCTATCTAGTCCTCACAGCAATCACGAAAAGAACTAAGCCTGTTTTGTAGATGATAAACTGGGACGCAAAGAAGTCAACAGCCTTGCCTACACTTTACAGTTCATACTGGGCAAAGCCACGAATTAAGCCCATACTATTTCACTTCAGACCTTGCTCTTTCTGCTTTGCCATGCTGCCTTCACTCTCTGGGAATCAATGAAGTCTCAAACTGTATTTTTGTAGTTTTCTTCTATTTGTTATGATGATTTATTTATTGAGTTATAGATTTATTTGAGACAGAGTCTTGCTCTACCATCCAGGCTGGGGTACAGTGGCATAATCTCGGCTCACTGCAACCTCTGCCTCCTGGGTTCAAGTGATTTTCCTGCCTCAGCCTCCCAAGTAATTGGGATCACAGGCACTTGCCATCATGCCCAGCTAATTTTTGTATTTTTACTAGAGATGGCGTTTCACAGTGCTGGCCAGTCTGGCCTGGAACTCCTGACTTCATGGCATCCACCCACCTTGGCCTCCCAAAGTGCTGGGATTATAGGCATGAGCCACCGGGTCCAACCTGTTTTGTTTTAACATCTTAAAAATCTAGCTGAGGAGAGACTGTCCGTTTCAGGTTAGCCAGCTCTTAGAAATAGCAGAGGGCTCATGGAGAATGCCTTTGATATGCAAACTAACCAGTCCAGAGCCATACCTCCTCTAGCAGGAGGAAATATTCCTCTGCTTTAATCATCCCAGGGCCACATACCAGGCAACCAAAGACCACTCCTATAGCTCAAAGCTTATAGGAATTATTCAGACTAGCCAAGTCTAACCAGTTTACTCTGTGCTGCCTTTCCTGTGGAAACCCCAATAAAGATGCCCTCTTTTCCAGACCCTCTGGGGATAATGAACTTTTTTTTCCTGAGCCTCTGCTTTGTGGCCACACCCCACTGACCATCACATAAAAGTACATCGAACACAATAACCAAAAAAAGGATTGGAAAAGCAGACCGACAAGTTCAGAGGGTCCTTTAGTAATGTTCAAAGAATTAGCATGTGCAGTAGAGGAGTGGTCACATCATCATGCACTCAAACCATAAATACGATATTCCCAATCCCAGCAAGCATGGCTTCCGGCACTTCGTGTCGGTGCTCTTGTCTGTAACACAGCAAAAGGAACAGGAACATTTTTCAATGCACAGATCAATCCAATTGGTTTGGAGAGAAAAGCTGGTTCTTATGATGGTTCTAAAAAGATGGTTTAGTAGCAGTGATTCATTCTATCAAAGGCATCACTGCTATCTTTGATGCAGATACTATCATCCTAAGCCCTTTGCAATCAATCCTGAGATGTATGATTTGTTTAGCCTAGTGAAATTCTTCACAATTCTTTAATCAACTTCAACTGCTTCTGATAACTTGACCCTGCATTCCTTGGACCAAAAAGCATCAAGGCAGAAATGTCTGAATCCCAGAATGGTTCCAAAGAGTAATACTTCAAAGAACTCTGTACACGGCAATTCCTTAGTATACTTTTACTACTTATTGACTTTAGTTTCTTTGCCATGGTGGAGATTTATTATCCTTTAATTTGTAAAGCTGGACTCAGATCAATTGTATGCTCTGGTTTCAAGAAATCCTGATAAGGTCTCTCAACAACATAAGTAGGGATAGGGTGACTAACCTCGTTTATCCAGGCCTGGAAAAGTACAAGGAATGTGGGACTTTCAGCTTTAAAACCAGGAAAGTACCTGCCAAACCAGGACAAGCTGGTCACCCTAATCTAGGGATTTAAGAAAAAGTAAATCTTTTGTCTTATTAAACTTTAAGAGGTGTCTTAGAACTAAATGCCTTCAAGATGCAGGTTGCTAATAGCCCTTTAATATCTTTAAGCAGCATATTTCCTGCAGGTTTGCAGGAAAACCAAAGTATAAATGTGTGACAATAAATACAATAGATCAAACAGTGATTCTTAATACCTCCAAACGTAGATGAAATACATCAAGCAAATGAAGAGCAAAACTGACACAGGTGACTTTACATATTCATTTCAATATATAAAGGCCCGGCAGGGACTTCTATATAAAAGTGAGTCTTTAGCAGTCAGCACAGGAGTCTTTGATTCACTGCCACTTAACAATGGGAAGTGCCAGTTTTAACTCTCCCAAAGGTGGGGAGCAGGGCCTTCAGTCCCACTCTCCTGGTTCTAACTCTTACCTCTACCTATGTCCAGCAGTGTTGGAATGGGCAGCCCAAAATAATGTGCACGTTAATTAAATCTTCAATAGGGATGGGAGGGAGGGAGGCTACTGAGAGCCGGGATTGCCTTAATTCTTTCTGGGGAATATGAAGAGTTAAGAGATTTACCAATCCAGCCGCTAAAAAAAAAAATCCCTCAAGACTCAGCCTTGCAGTTCTAATTGATTGATGTCATTTATAAGTAATCTAATAAAGTTGAATAATTTATTTGAAAATGACAGATGTTGAAAATATAGAGTCATACTAATCTGGGTCTGGCAGAGAATACAGTCATGATTATCATATATAATTTCACGTCAGGATTGAGTTTTTATATTTTAAACAATCTTTGGATATCTCATTTTAGTGCTTATATTAAAGTAAATTTAGGAAAAAGGTAATTTTGAGCCAGTGGATAAAACTGGATCACAAATTTGTCATTCCTCAAATGTATGCCAGCTGCTGTGCTAGGTGGCGGGAGACATGGTGGAGAACACAGAAATGGTCCTTGCCCTCACTGAGTTTCCATTCTATCGGGGAAAACTGACAATAAATAAGTACACAAATAGGTAAAATAATTACAGATGGTGATTAACAAAAATTAAGAGTAAATCTACTTTCAGCTTTCCCATCACTTTATGCATAGCTCTGTTTTGTTTTGTTTTGTGAGATGAGGCCTGACTCTGTGGCACAGGCTGGAGTGCACTGGGATTATCTCGGCTCACTGCAACCTCACCCACCCTGCTTCAAGCGATTCTCCTGCCTCAGCTTCCTGAGTAGCTGGGATTACAGATGTGCATCACTACGCCAAGCTAATTTTTGTATTTTTAGTAGAGACGGAGTTTCGCCACATTGGCCAGGCTAGTCACAAACTCCTGACCTCAGGTGATCTGCCCACCTTGGCCTCCCAAAGTGTCGGGATTACAGGTATGAGCCACTGCACCTGACCTATCCATAGCTCTCTGAACCATTCACAACAATCTATGAAACTTCAGTTTCACATGTAAACACATATATCTTCATGAAGAAGGATTTAACATTACATAATTTTCCCACCAGAAGAACTATACTATTCACCTCAGCCTATTAAAACAATTTTATTACTCTTTTGTGTGTTTTATTGAATATTTTTAAAGCCCTGGAAAAAATTTACATCAAAATGCAAGGCCTTACAAGTAAGTTCAGTTTCTCGCTATTGCTGAGGCCCCCTTTCCTTCCTAATAAGATTAACACATGTTCTTTCTGGTTACTAGAACAAACAGAAGACTAAGGAAGAAAATCATGCTCCATCTCTGTTAAGTATAACCAGTGCTAGCATACAGGAGAAGGGAAATGGACGATAAAGCTACTTTAAGAATGCAAAACAGCCAGGCTTAGTGGCTCACACCTGTAATCCCAGCAATTTAGGAGGCTGAAGTGGGTGGATCACTTGAGGCCAGGAGTTCAAGACCAGCCTGGGCAACATGGTGAGACCTCGTCTCTACTAAAATTATAAAAATTAGCCAGGCATGGTGGCAGGCACCCATAATCCCATCTACTTGGGAGGCTGAAGCAGGAGAATCTCTTGAACCTCAGTTGCAGTGAACTGAGCTACTCAGGAGGCTGAGGCACAAGAATCGCTTGCACCTGGGAGATGGAGGTTTCAGTGAGCCAAGATTGTACCACTACACTTCAGCCTGTCGACAGAGTGAAACTCTGTCTCAATAAATAAATAAGAATGCAAAATGGCTCAATCTTCTTCTCCAGCCAGGAGAGTCTTAGTTTGGCCACCCTCCCTCCCCTTGCCTCCATACCTCCCTCTGTCCTTCTCTGTAGACTAGCTATGGGTTCCCTCCCAGTTTCCCTGTGAGCCACCTCCAATAAATCTAGTCTTCAAACCAGACTCAAAAACTCACTCAAACCAATGTGTCAGTAATTGATGACAGCAAGGATATTACTATTTAATAAGGATGAAGGTCTTTAAGAAGTGAAACTCTTAAGACTAGGGCTTGCAGCTCTAGTGAGTGATAGTGGGTAGTGTATATTAGCCAGCCCTAAAGAGATTCTGACTATAGATTTGCAGTCTCCTGGTCCAAAGCCAGCTAGCACATAGGGTGCTCGCTGCTTCCAATGCAACTTCATTGCCATACACCATGGTCATGATTTACTATAAAGCAATGCTGTTTCTGATACATGATGGAGTGGCACCCAGAACATCTGCTCAACTAAAAACAAACAACAACAAAATCACTGTAGGTGCACTCAATCTATCTTGGCTTTTCTTCTTCTTCTTCTTCTTCTTCTTTTTGTTGTTATTTGTTTTATGAGACAAAGTCTCACTCTGCTGCCTAGGCTGTAGTGCAGTGGTGCAATCTCAGCTCACTGCAACCTCTGCCTCTGGTTTCAAGCAATTCTCCTGCCTCAGCCTCCCAAGTAGCTGGGATGAAAGGTGTGCACCACCACGCCTGGCTAATTTTTGTGTTTTTAGTGGAGATGGGTTTTCACTATGTTGGCCAGGCTGGTCTTGAACTACTGACCTCGTGATCTGCCCACCTCGGCCTCCCAAAGTGCTGAGATTACAGGCATGAGCCACCACGCCTGGCCAAGGGTTATCTTCTTTAATAGTTTTTCAATATACTGAAATGTCCTCTATTGCATTATTTAAATTTCTGTGTGTGACATTTGTCTCTCCAGCTAGGGCAGGGACTTTCTTTTAAATCAGCACATAGAAAATATTGAGAGATAGTCTCTTGACTATTAAGTATAAATTAATCTTTCCAGGATTCATTTCAAATGTTTTGTCCTGAATGTTTTTCACATTATTATTAATAACAACAGCAATTATGTTTATGGGATATTTGCCATGTACCAGGTGCTCTTCCTTAAATTATTCCTCATGCTCACAACAGCCTCCACATTAGTTATTATTACCTCTCTTTCTGTAGTTGAAGAAACCACCCAAGGTCACACAATTGCAGAGAAACTCTCTGGCATCTGTCTACCTCTTTTACAAAAGATGTGAAGGGAGTTTATCAAGGTTTTTGCTCCTGAATAGGTATTGGAAAGGCAGGAAAAATACCGTATGTCCTGGCAATTCTATAGAATACATTAGGGCACAAGGTTAAAAGATAGGCAACTTTTAAAGCCTCTGTGTTTTCTGTGGGATATTCATGAGCCTGGAGGTGAGTCAAGAATGAAATAGCCAGTTACAGAGTTTAAGAACTATAATCAACACTATGGTACTCAGCAGAAACAGCCTGAACCAAGGAAAGAGCATTCCAATTTAGACTTGCCCTCTCCAGAGCAGGTAATAATAGAGCAACCAACTGGCTGCCAACCACAGGTGTAAAGCATGCGATGTCAGGACCAACCCTCCTTGGCAAATTCAACCTTGTTCCAGACTAATTTCTAAGTGTTCCTGCTTTATTGGGTAGTATTATTAACCTTGCTTTCATGGGATAAACCAGGGTTTCAGTCAGAGGAGCGCTGGGGGCGGCTTAAGTATGGTTCTTCATTCCACTCCTCCCTCCCACTCTCTCTCCAACACCCTGCCTGAGCATCAGCCTGAGAACAGTCCTAACTACCATTTGTAGACTTCACCCCAATCTACGAGTCTTTTCACATACCTTATTCAGATAACCTTGTGAAACTGGTACTATTAGTAGCCCCTTCCTAAACAGGAAGATGGCACAGAGAAAAGTTATGGCTTACTCCAAATCATGCTGCCAGGAAGGATCAAAGCCAGAAGTGGATCCAAGTTTTCTGGGTCTTCTGGTTCAAAAAGAGACCAAATGAAAGCCTGCCAAAGAAAAGGTAGCACATGGTTATCCGTTGCTCCACCCCACCTCCCTGACATTAGGATTAAAATTCATAATAATTTGTTGGATTTAATGGTGTCCTACCATTCATTCTATCCATCTCCAGCAAAAACACACCTCAGTCCCATGGAGGTTTCCCTTTAACATCTTTCAGTTTAATTTCACTCATGGGCATTTGTAGAGAGCATTGCTATCCAGCAGTTTCTATTTTCCCCCTGATGTTTATAGACAATGCACATGAGTATTACTAAGTATTAGATGCGTACATGAGAGAATGAATCTTCCTACGTGTCTGTGGATGCCTGAGATGGATTTTCACTGCTTAGTTATGAACTTCCAAGGGGATAGATAGCTTTTATAAAACACATACATACACTGAGAATTTAGTCTCTACACTATGGGCGATAGTAGTCATTCTTACTATCAAGACAGAAGCTCATTCTTGGTGAAAACAGGTTCCATTCACCTGAAGTGAAAAGGAAGAGAAGAATTTGAAATTACTGCAACCACAATTTAAACTGATGACCCGTTACTCAAGAACCAATTATCCAGTTTGTGGATTTTCTCTGTTCCTCCCTCTTATTGTCTGCTGGGCATTTTTCACTATTCACTATCATCTCCTGCAGAGGATGTTAGAGAAAAAGAGGGGAGGTGAGATTCAAAATAAAATTCCAATAAATTATCATCCAGCACCTACTTTATGCCAGACACTGAGATACGCACTGAGAGTCCTAAATGAGTAATCACTGGCCCCTGTGCTTGAATCGCTATCAGAAATGCAACATTAAAGTTATGCATAAAATACTACAAATTCCTGGTAAAAGAGTAATTCACCCGAAAAGGAGGGGAGGAGGTAAAGACAACAGGAAAAAAAGTGATATTTCCACTGGAACTTGAAGAAGTTGAAGTCCAGGAGGAAACAGATGAATGGGGAAGAGAAGACAGGATGAGGGGGAAACAGCAGGAGTGTGGGCAGTGGGGTTCAGAAGTGGGAAGGTTTCACAAAGGGCGGTACGGGTGGTGACCATACATCCTGGTTTGCCTGAGTCAGTCCTAATTTACGGTCACTATGTCAGCATAATTAATATAGCACCTCCTTTTACTCTCAAAAGTATCCTACTTTGAGTAATAAATTATACAGCCATCTGTGTCAGTCTGAGTCACATATGTCATCACTCTCCCTTCCTTTATCCATGGAAGACATTATTAAATTGCCACAGTACATTCCTGGCTAGGCCTGGACTTGTCTTCAAAATCCTACTGAAAATATCACTTCAGGCAGTATCACAGATTGGAATTGGACCTACGTATGTTTTCCAAGCTACGGGCCAGAGAGGTTGCAAAACGGCAACACACAGGCTATATCTGAACTGCATTTGTATTTTATTTGACCTGCACAGGATTTTTTGCAATTCTGAGCCAGGGTTTACTATCCTGAGGTTTAACTCAATAATTGTATTTCTGATTTTATTTGAGAAATGGGAAAATCCAATAACACAAGACCTGTATTTTACCACAGTAGAACAATTGGCTGAAGCTAAAGAGCAAATATACCCTTTTGTCCAATATCTACCTGTTGTTATCAGCCTCCAAGATGGTCTCCACTGATCCTCACTTCCTCTCATGCTGTATCAGGTTTAGTATGTTTGGCTAATGGAATACAACAAGAGTGATGTTATTCTACTTCCCAGGCTAGCTGTCATTCTGCCTTCCTTAGATTACTTGCTCTGGAGGAAAACAGCTGACATGTTGTGAAGAGAGGCCCACATGGTGAGAAACTGAAGCTTCCAGCAATAGCCATGGGAGTGAGTCTTTCTGAAGCAGAACTTCCACCTCCATTCTAGTATTCAGATGATTGAAGCCCCATCAACATCTTGACTGCAACTCATGGAAGACCTGAGTCAGAACCACTCAGCTAAGCTGCTCCCAGGTTCCTGACCCTCAGAAACCATATAAGAAATGAACATTTGTTGTTTTAAACTGCTGTTTTGGGGCAATTTGTTACACAGCAGTAGATAACTAATACACCAACAAAATTGATTTTCTTATGATCTACCTTCCCCTATCAATTATTTTATCTACCTGGCTCTCAAGACAGTTGAAGTTACATCCTGGCTTTACAGAAAGAAATATTGTTGATGGTTATAAGTAAGAAAGTAAGAAAGTCAGATTTGGCTTTAGATGTATCAACTGGCATCTGTGAGAAGAAGAAGTAACAGGGAGGCTGAAGATCAAGTTTATTTCCTGAAAAAATCATAAATAGACCTTGCAGTGTAGTGCAAGGGGGATGTGATATAGAACCATGTCTAAAAGAGTAAGCTTAGACTCTAGGTCAGACTATATAAGTTCAAATCCCCATATCACCACTGAAGGATCAGATAAATTTAGTAAGTTACTTAGTCTTTTATTTTCTTATCTGAAACATGGGATTAGGAATGCTTACAGCTGCAAGTAACTAAACACCCATCTAATCATAGCTTAAATAAATAGTTTATTTTTCCGCTACAACTGAAAGTACAGAGATACTTTCTTCTCTTCCTTTTCACTTCAGGTGAATGGAACCTGCTTTCACTGAGAATGAGCTTCTGTCTTGATAGTAAGAATGACTACTATCGCCCATGGTGTAAAGACTAAATTCTCAGTGTATGTATGCTGGGAATGATTCAACTGTTCAACAATGCCACCAGGATTCCAGCTTCTCTCTACCTTTCAACTCTGCCTTTCTTAGCAGGTTGGCTCATTGCCTTGTGTTTCTAAGATGGCTGCTGTAGCTCCAGCCATCACATTTCTGTCTTAGGTCAGAGACTTAAGACAGAAAGAAGCAGGGGCAGGTCAAGAATTTTAGCATGGTTTCTAGCCATATGTGTATGATTTTATCAGGAAAGAAAAAAGCTTCCCAGAAGCCCCCAGCAGACTTCTCCTTACATCTCATTGGCTAGAATTAGATCACAGAGCCTTATTAGCAGTAATGGAGACTGGGATCATGAGTATTTAGTTGAATATATTGATACCCCAAGCAAAATTGGGTTCTGTCGGTAAGCAAGAAAAGAAGAGAATAAATATTAGGTATTCAATTGCCCTGAGTGATACAATCAACTTCCAAATATTGATATAGGGGTTAAAGTAAGCTGATACATGCTTTAGGCTAACAGTGTTTGGCATGGAATTAAGTGTTCGATAGATGTTAGCTGTTAAAATTGCAATAATTTAGGCACAAAATATCCATCCTGGACTAGGACATGGAAGAGGGAATAATTTTGAGACTAAAGGGCTTGAAAAGAAAGACAGATAAAATTATTGGCAAGAAAATAATTTTGGTTTTAACTGTTTTTTATTACCTTTCTTTCTCCTTTGTCTTATAGACACAGAAGTGCTCTATCACATTATCATCTTTTTTCTAATTATTTTATAATTGTGTATCTTTTGTTAGAATTTAAGTACTTTATTATTTTAAAAATCTAACTAAAGGAAATATCAACTTTGAGTTCCTTAATCTACTCAGTTAAAAAACCTCCTACAGTAACTTTAACTCTACATTCCAGTTAGTAGCCTGCACAATTATATAATTACATAATGCAGAGCACTGTGACCTACTATTCAAAAGATACTTGTTTTAGACATAGCTCACCTATGTGAAGTAGCAGCAATATTGCCTATGGTCATGCTAAAATTAACTGCAATATTGAAGTCATGTGACATTAAATGTTTCTAGAACTTGCAGGCAGCACAGCTCCCAGAAACCCAATTGCACATTGCTGAATGTGTCTCAAGGCACTTTCAGGTAGATCAGTTAATGGGTGGACCCACCACATACTTTTCAACCATGAGGAGTGATTCAGGGGCCAGGATTTAGAAACCATGAGCAGCTGTGTAATTGCGTGGTGTTAAGAACAAGAGCAGTGAATGGTGTGGGATACAGGTTTAAAAGAAAAGGAAGGTTCTGATTGTATTCTCAAAATAATTGAAAGCAGGGTCTCAAAGAGATATTTGTATGCCATGTTCATAGCAACATTATTCACAGTTGTGAAAGAGTGGAAGCAACCCAAATGTCAATTGACAAATGAATGGATAAACAAATATGATATATAAGTACAATGAACTATTACTCAGCCTTAAAAAGAAAAGAGATTTTGACATGATACATGCTACAACATGGATGAAACTGGAGCACATTAAGCTAAGGGAAATAAGGCAATCACAAAAAGATACTGTATGATTCCCCTGATATGAGGTACCTGGAATAGTCAAGTTTATAGAGACAGAAAGTAGAATGGTGGTAGCCAGGAGATGGACAGTTACTGTTAATGAGTACAGAGTTTCAATTGGGAAAAATGAAAACATTCTGGAGGGGGACAACAGTAGTGGATAATAGCAATGTAAATGTAGTTAATGCCACAGAACTGCACACTCGAAAATGATTATAATGGTAAATGTTATGAGTCTTTTACCAGAATAAAAAAAAATTTAAAGAATAAAAAAGGAAGAGAAAGAACTGGAATGTAATATCCTCACTTCACAAACTCAGCACCCACCCTCCACTGCTCACAAAGTCCTCTAAAATTCTGCTTATTAAGGTGGAAAGAAGATAACAAAATTGGGAAAGTTTTCCTAACTCATCCTAAATATGAGCAACTTCGTTTAGTCATTCTGTATTTTTTTTATTTTTCACAATAAATATGGGGTTTTATTTTGTTTTTTGTTTGTTAGACAGAATCTCGCTGTGTCGCCCAGGCTGGAGTACAGTGGCATGATCTTGGCTCACTGCAGCCTCCACCTCCTGGGTACAAGTGATTCTCCTGCCTCAGCCTCTGCAGTAGTTGGGATTACAGGTGTACCACCACTTCCAGCCAATTTTTGTATTTTTAGTAGATCTAGGGTTTCACCATGTTTGCTAGGCTGGTCTCAAACTCCTGGCCTCAGGCAATCTGCCTGCCTTGGCCTCCCAAAGTGCTGGGATTACAGGCATGAACCACTGCTCCTG